TGGGTTATACTGGGAGCGCAGCGCGGCCGGCATCGCCGAGCAGGCCAAGCACGTAAGGGTTAACTGGGGATACTGGTTTGTACTGGTTATACTGGGAATGGACTGGGGAACGAGCTGGGAATGGTTATACTGGGTTATACTGGGTTATACTGGGTTATACTGGGTTATACTGGTTATACTGGTTATACTGGTTATACTGGGTTATACTGGGTTATACTGGGTTATACTGGGTTATACTGGGAGCGCAGCCCGGCCGAGATCGCCGAGCAGGCCAAGCACGTAAGGGTTAACTGGTTATACTGGTTATACTGGTTATACTGGGAATGGACTGGGGAACGAGCTGGGAATGGTTATACTGGGTTATACTGGTTATACTGGGTTTTACTGGGTTATACTGGTTAGACTGGGTTATACTGGGTTATACTGGGAATGGTTAGACTGGGTTATACTGGTTTATACTGGTTTATACTGGTTTGTACTGGTTTGTACTGGTTTATACTGGTTATACTGGGTTATACTGGTTTATAGTGGTTTGTACTGGGTTATACTGGTTTATACTGGTTTATACTGGGTTAGACTGGTTTATACTGGTTTATACTGGTTTGTACTGGGTTATACTGGTTATACCGGGTGTAGCAGTGACTTGAGGAGCTTTGCAGTGAAATGACCCCAATTTATTCATTTTTTGCCCTAAAATCTCGGGGTTTTTTGCATTTTTTTGGGGTTTTTTTTCCCTCACCTGTCTCACCTGTTCCTCACCTGTGTCACCTTTATCTCACCTGTCTCACCTGTCCCAGGTGAGTCCTTCAGGAGCTTTGCAATGAAATAACCCCAATCTATTCCATTTTTGGGCTAAAATCTCGGGGTTTTTTGCTGTTTTTTCCCGTTTTTTTTGCCTCACCCGTCTCACCTGTGTCCCACCTGTCCCACCTGTCCCACCTGTCCCAGGTGAACCCTCCAGGAGCTTTGCAGTGAAATATCCCCAATTTATTCAATTTTTGCCCTAAAATCTCGGCGTTTTTTGCTTTTTTTTCCGTTTTTTTTTGCCTCACCCATCTCACCTGTGTCCCACCTGTCTCACCTGTCCCTCTCCTGTGTCACCTTTATCTCACCTGTCTCACCTGTCCCAGGTGAACCCTCCAGGAGTTTTGGAGTGAATTATCCCCAATTTATTCCATTTTTGCCCTAAAATCTCGGGGTTTTTTGCACTTTTTTCCGTTTTTTTTGCCTCACCCATCTCACCTGTGTCCCACCTGTCCCACCTGTCCCACCTGTCCTACCTGTGTCTCACCTGTCCCTCACCTGTCCCAGGTGAACCCTCCAGAAGCTTTGCAATGAAATGACCCCAATTTATTCAATTTTTGGGCTAAAATCTCGGCGTTTTTTGCATTTTTTTCCGTTTTTTTTCCCCCTCCCCCATCTCACCTGTCCCTCACCTGTCTCACCTGTCCCTCACCTGTCCCAGGTGAGTCCTTAAGGAGCTTTGCAGTGAAATAACCCCAATTTATTCAAATTTTGGCCTAAAATATCGGGGTTTTTTGCATTTTTTCCGTTTTTTTCCCCCTCCCCCATCTCACCTGTCCCTCACCTGTCCCAGGTGAACCCTTCAGGAGTTTTGGAGTGAAATGACCCCAATTTATTCCATTTTTGCCCTAAAATCTCGGGGATTTTTGCCTTTTTTTCGGGTTTTTTTCCCCCTCACCCATCTCACCTGTCCCTCACCTGTCCCACCTGTCCCTCTCCTGTGTCACCTGTGTCTCACCTGTCCCTCACCTGTCCCAGGTGAATCCTTCAGGAGCTTTGCAGTGAAATAACCTCAATTTATTCAGTTTTTGCCCTAAAATCTCGGGGTTTTTTGCCTTTTTTTTTGTTTTTTTTTCCCCTCACCCATCTCACCTGTGTCTCACCTGTGTCACCTTTATCTCACCTGTCTCACCTGTCCCAGGTGAACCCTCCAGGAGTTTTGGAGTGAAATAACCTCAATTTATTCCATTTTTGCCCTAAAATCTCGGGGTTTTTTGCATTTTTTTCGGGTTTTTTTCCCCCCTCCCCCATCTCACCTGTCTTTCACCTGTCCTACCTGTGTCTCCCCTGTCTCACCTGTCCCAGGTGAACCCTCCAGGAGTTTTGGAGTGAATTATCCCCAATTTATTCAATTTTTGCCCTAAAATCTCGGGGTTTTTTGCATTTTTTTCCGTTTTTTTTCCCCCTCACCCATCTCACCTGTGTCCCACCCATCTCACCTGTCTCACCTGTCTCACCTTTATCACACCTGTCTCACCTGTCCCAGGTGAACCCTCCAGGAGCTTTGCAGTGAAATGACCCCAATTTATTCCATTTTTGCCCTAAAATCTCGGCGTTTTTTGCCTTTTTTTCCGTTTTTTTTCCCCCTCCCCCATCTCACCTGTCCCTCACCTGTCCCACCTGTGTCTCACCTGTCCCACCTGTCCCTCACCTGTCCCAGGTGAGTCCTTAAGGAGCTTTGCAGTGAAATAACCCCAATTTATTCCATTTTTGGGCTAAAATCTCGGGGTTTTTTGCTGTTTTTTCCCGTTTTTTTTGCCTCACCCATCTCACCTGTCCCTCACCTGTCCCACCTGTCCCACCTGTCCCCCCAGGAGGCCGAGGTGGAGCACCGCGTGGCCGAGATGAAGCGCGAGGGCTTCTGGTCGCTGCGGCGCCTGCCCAAGGTGCCCGAGCCGGCGCGGCCCAAGGTGCACTGGGATTACCTGTGCGAGGAGATGCAGTGGCTGGCCGCCGACTTCGCCCAGGAGCGCCGCTGGAAGAGGGGCGTGGCCCGCAAGGTGACACACCTGGCCGCACCTGGCCGCACCTGGCGGAATTCGGGGGGAATTCGGGTGAAATTTGGGCGAAAATCGGGGGAAAATCGGGTGAAATTTGGGTGTTTTTTGGTGGTTTTTGGTCACCTGGTGGCATCTCAGGTGGGTTGGAGCACCTGGAGGAGCTCAGGAGACACCTGGACACAGCTGGTGGAATTTGGGTGGAATTTGGGTGAAATTTGGGTGTTTTTTGGGTGTTTTTTGGTGGTTTTTGGTCACCTGGTGGCATCTCAGGTGGGTTGGAGCACCTGGAGAAGGTGTGGCCACACCTGGGGACAGCTGGTGAAATTTGGGTGGAATTTGGGTGAAAATTGGGTGTTTTTTGGTGACCTGGTGGAGCCAAGGACACACCTGGCCACACCTGGGCACACCTGGCGGAATTCGGGGGGAAATCGGGCGAAAATCGGGTGAAATTCGGGTGTTTTTTGGTGGGTTTTGGTCACCTGGAGCACCTGTGGTGGCATCTCAGGTGGGTCTGAGCACCTGGAGAAGGTGTGGTCACACCTGGGCACACCTGGTGGAATTCGGGTGGAATTTGGGTGAAAATTGGGCGAAAATCGGGCGAAATTTGGGTGTTTTTTGGTGGTTTTTGGTCACCTGGTGGCATCTCCGGTGGGTCTGAGCACCTGGAGAAGGTGTGGCCACACCTGGGCGCACCTGGCGGAATTCGGGGGGAATTCAGGTGAAATTTGGGCGAAAATCGGGTGAAATTCGGGTGTTTTTTGGTGGGTTTTGGTCAGCTGGTGGCATCTCAGGTGGGTTGGAGCACCTGGAGAAGGTGTGGCCACAGCTGGTGAAATTTGGGTGGAATTTGGGTGAAATTTGGGTGATTTTTGGTGGTTTTTGGTCACCTGGTGGCATCTCAGGTGGGTTGAAGTACCTGGAGAAGCTCAGGTCACACCTGGGTGGAATTTGGGTGATTTTCAGCTGTTTTTTGGGTCATTTTTGGTGGTTTTGGGTCATTTTTGGTGCTTTTTGGGTCACCTGGTGGCATCTCAGGTGGGTTTGAACATGTGGAGAATCTGTGCCCCACACCCGTGTCACACACGTGTCACACGCGTGTGTCAGGCGTGTCACACGTGTGTTGCAGGTGGTTTGCATGGTGCTGCGGCACCACGAGGAGCAGCGGGGCTGGAGTGTCTGTTACACGCGTGTTCCCTGTGTCACACGCGTGTTCTCTGTGTCACACGCGTGTTCCGTGTCACACGCGTGTTCCCTGTGTCACACGCATGTTCCCTGTGTCACACACGTGTTCTGTGTCACACGTGTGTTCTGTGTCACACGTGTTCCCCATGTCACATGTGTTTCCCGTGTTACATGTGTTCCCTGTGCCACATGCGTGTTCCCCGTGTGACATATGTGTTCCCTGTGTCACACCTGTGCTACGTGTATGTTACCTGTGACATGTTTCCTGTGTCACACACGTGTCCCACACATGACCCACGCGTGTCCCACCCGTGTCCCACCTGTGTCCCACGTCGTTCACATGGAGCTGCGGCACCACGAGGAGCAGTGGGGCCGTGTGCACACCGGGTGTCACACGTGTCCCACACATGTCCCACATGTCCCACATGTCCCACATGTCCCACACATGTCACACATGTCCCACACATGTCCCACATGTCCCACATGTCCCACATGTCCCACATGTCCCACATGTCCCACACGTGTCACACATGTCCCACACATGTCCCACGTGTCCCACGCGTGTTGCAGGTGGTTCGCATGGTGCTGCGGCACCACGAGGAGCAGCGGGGCTGTGTGCACACGGGGTGTCACACGTGTCTCACACATGTCTCACCAATGTCCCACATGTGTCCCACACGTCCCACACATCCCACATGTCCCACATGTCCCACACATGTCCCACACATGTCCCACATGTCCCACACATGTCCCACATGTCACATCCATGTCACACCCGTGTCCCACACGTGTCGCAGGTCGTTCGCATGGTGCTGCGGCACCACGAGGAGCAGCGGGGCGGTGTGCCCATGGGGTGACACACATGTCACACATGTCCCACACGTGTCACACACATGTCACACGTGTCCCACCCGTGTCCCACGCGTGTCGCAGGTGGTGCGCATGGTGCTGCGGCACCACGAGGAGCAGCGGCAGCGCTCGGAGCGCGCCAAGCGCGAGGAACAGGCCAAGCTGCGCCGCGTGGCCGCCGCCATCGCCCGCGAGGTCCGGCACTTCTGGAGCAGCGTCGAGAAGGTGACCACACACCTGGGGGGACATGGGGGACATGGGGACACACCTGGGGACACCTGGGGACACCTGGGCACACCTGGGGACACCTGGGATACACCTGGGGGGACATGGGGGACATGGGGGGACATGGGATACACCTGGATACAACTGGGGACACCTGGGGGGACATGGGGACACCTTGGGGACACCTGGGATACACCTGGGATACACCTGGGCTCACCTGGGGACACCTGGGGGACACCTGGGGACACCTTGGGGACACCTGGGGGCACATGGGATACACCTGGGGACACCTGGGCACACCTGGGCACACCTGGGGACACCTTGGGGACACCTGGGATACACCTGGGATACACCTGGGACACCTGGGGACACCTTGGGGACACCTGGGCACACCTGGGCACACCTGGGGACACCTGGGGGCACATGGGCACACCTGGGGTCACCTGAAAGACACCTGGGCACACCTGAGATACACCTGGGGACACCTGGGCACACCTGCAGGGACATGGGGACACCCAAGAGACACCTGAGAGACACCTGGGCACACCTGGGATATACCTGGGCACACCTGGGGGGACATGGGGACACCTGGGCACACCTGAGGGCACCTTAGGGGACATGGGGCACACCTGGGATACACCCGGGCACACCTGGGCACCTGGGGTGGGCACTTGGGGACAGCTGGGATTCACCTGGGCACACCTGGGTGCACCTGAGATACACCTGGGCACACCTGGGGACACCTGGCGGGACATGGGGCACACCTGGGGGCACCTGGGGGCACTTGGGCACACCTGGGGGCACCTGAGATACACCTGGGCACACCTGGGGCATCTGGCGGGACATGGGGGACAGCTGGGATTCACCTGGGCACACCTGGGAGCACCTGGGACACCTGGGATACACCTGGGGGCACCTGGGCACACCTGGGTCCAGCCAGCTCAGCTGACAGGTGCCCAAGTGGGTGGCCAGGTGTGCTCAGGTGGGTGCCCAGGTGTGCCCAGGTGTACCCCAGGTGTGCCCAGGTGTACCTAGGTGCACTCCCAGGTGCCCAGGTGTGCCCAGGTGCACTCCCAGGTGTACCTAGGTGCACTCCCAGGTGTTCCCAGGTGTGCCCTGGTGTGCTCCCAGGTGTGCCCAGGTGTTCCCAGGTGTACCTAGGTGCACTCCCAGGTGCCCAGGTGTGCCCGGCGCTGACAGGTGCCCAGGTGTGCCCAGGTGTGCCCGGTGCTGACAGGTGCCCAGGTGTGCCCAGGTGTGCCCG